TTTATGAAAAAATGAACTATTTAAAAGAAAAACAGAAAATTTGGAACAAAGAGGTGTTTGGAAAATATTAAGGAAATGCCGATCCATGATGAGATGAAATAGTTAGATAGAATAACATCAAAGAGCAATATTTATGACTTAGAGAAGTCAATTAATAGGATAAGAATGAGCTCGATCAAGTGATGTTGCAGGAGAAGAGAAGTTGAGAAAGGTGAGAATCAAATGGGTAAAGGGGATGCTAATACACATCTATATCATAGAGTTGCCAATGAGTGTAGAAGAAAGAGCGCAATAAAGGAGCCAGAGCTTGAAAATGAGGTAATCACAAGGAGAGGCAATGCTATAAGGAGGGAGTTTACCCATTATTGTAGGGAATTTTATACAAAAGAAGGGGTATGTAGGTCTTTTTTAGAGAGGATTGATTGAGCTTCGATCAGTAGAGATAAGGCAGAGAAGTTAGAATGACCGTTTCAGGAGGAGGAAATAAGGTGGGCTGTGTGCAGGAATCAGGTGATGATAATGATCCCAGAGCAGATAGCTTTTCCAAAGCATTTTCTCAAGGTTGTTGGGCCATTATCAAAAAACAGACTTAGTCAAAGAGTTGGGAAATTTTATTTGAGTGCCACCATATGTAAAAGCATGGATTCAACATTCATTGCCCTGATTTTTTTTCGAAGGAAAAAAAAAGTAAGAACAGATTTGTGAAGGTCTCGAACTATCGCCATTTAGTTTAATACAAGTGCGTATAAGATAATTAGTAAGGAACATTTTTTAAGACTAAATAAGGTTGTTTCTATTAAAAAAAGACTTAATATGGTTGTAGACGATACAATTTCACTCAACCAAGGTGCCTTTATGAGAGGTAGATAAATCCTGGATACTCTTCGTGTTGCCATGAGGTAGTGGGCATCCAAAATCTAAGGGAAAGTGTTGGTTATCAAGTTAGATTTTAAAAAGCATACAATTGGGTAGTGGAGCATAAGGAATTTATAGTGATTGTTAATGGAAGATTGCCGGAATTCTTTCGGGCATCGAGTGGATTGAGACATAGGGATCCGCCCTCAGTTTTCTTTTTATCCTGGTGGTGGATAAGGTAGAGGTTTCCTGCCTTTAGTTTGCTGGTGACACTATTTTATTTCTGTAACATAATAATAGGTTCATCAATAATATGCTCGCGTTCATTCAAGTGTTCGAGCATATTTCAAGACAAGAATAATTTGGCAAAGAGTGAGTTTATTAGGACTGATGTGGAGGAAGGAATTGCTGAGCAGATAGCAGAGTGGATAAAATGTACTTGATTAGTTTGGCCCATCACATATTTAGTTGTTTCATTGGGGTGTAACCCTAGAAGTGGCTTTTGAGGATCTTAGATTAAAAAAAGAATTGACCATTACAGGATAAAGACTTTCTCATTTTCCAC